GGGAAAGAGCATTCTGAAAAGAATTGTCATCCTTGAGTTGGGGAGTAGTCAGATGTCCCTCTCATCTACTGTCTAACATCCTTCCCCCTTTGCCCCATGACTCACCTTTTCTGGAAGTCTTTCCAGATGGATGTCTCTCCATTTCTATCATTTCCAAGGGATTTTTGTAAATGAAATGATACAACATTGCTTTTAACTTGCCTCCATTTTCTACATACATCTCTTTATTCTTTTTTCTGTAATACCAAGGCTCCACATCGTTTGCCTTTCTCTTGGCTCAATGCTGTCCATCGAATATGTGCTTAATCCTTTGCTGAGGGGCATTATGGAAGAACTTAATGCTCAGAGAGAGAAAATGTGTAATGCCAGCACTGTGCTACCTTGCAAGCAAATTTTCCCTGCATAATCACATTTATTACCCTCATAAAATATAACACTCTCCTTATTACTTTTGGCAGTAAAAGAAAGCCTCTAATGTATACCTTTCCTACCACACCTCACATACTTAACTATTAAGGAAGTCCTAAGTAGAGGGGCGGAAAGACATGGAAAAGGCCAGATTCTTCCAGAGGGAGCCAAATGACTTGGAGTGTGGAAGTTTGATTCTGAACTTAAAGTGGTCTGGGAAAACATAAACCTTTATATCTTAAGTGTGACCCACCGGCCCCTCCACTGTTTTGAAATAGAGTCCTCCTTTCAAAATCTTCCTCTAGTCCTTCTTTGATGAAAAGTAGTCTGAAGCTTACTTTCAAAGCTCTTAAGTGTAAAAATAAACAAGCATTCAGTCAATGGGGTCCCCGACGCCATGCTATATACCATAACGCATTTTGGGGTCATAAATCATGGCTCTGACAGGTCTATGATGATGCATTGTGTTAATACATCATAATGACAATACTGATGATGTATTAGTGCAATACATTCTGAAAGCCTCTCACTTCAGAATTCTGTGTTTATAGATAGCAAAAGAAAGACTTGAGGATGGAGAAACTGAGAAAGAGGTACATGGGAAGGTTCAGGATGACGATCTTTGTGTGTGTGTGTGTGCGTGTGTGTGTGTGTGTGTGTGACAAACCAAGAGCCAAAATGGGAAATTAAAAGCTTCCACCTTCTAGGCACTAATGCCTTTCTTCTCCCAGTCCTTGTGTAATGGCTGCAGCTCCTGGAAATACGTGCTCTACCAAGCCTAAGGTCACACACCTGGCTATTGGCAGTCAGACTGGATGCAGGTAATCTGAGTCTCAGCCCCCTACTCTTCCCAGTGCTTCCAAGGGTTGTGATGAATGAGACCTATTTTATGTATATGAGTTCTGCTCCTAGGGAACCCGTTGACCAGCTGGCCTGGGATGAACAATTCATTTTTAAAATTCTAATTACAAATAAGGTTATTGAAATATACAGATAAGTACATTTTTTTCTTTCTTTTTTTTTTTGGAGAGGTTTTTGCTATAGGGCGCGTGTGCTTGCCAGAAAGGGCAAGAAAGAGAGATAGAAAGCAAGAAATCACCCCCCAGGGGGGATGGCCATGCCGCAATCTCTTCTCCTCTATTCTCCTCTCGGGATCTTGCGCACGCATGCACACGTGCCCAGCATGAGTTTAAGCCAGTGGGTCCAGGACGCGAACCGTGGTCGACTACATGTGAGTCCAGCGACAAAGCCATTACGCTAACTGCTGGTCCCAAGATAATTACATTCTTCAAATGAGCAAAACAGCATTTCATTTCCAGAAATTGTGGAATTCAGATTTCTGTAATTAAGATAAGTATGAACATAGCACAATTGATGGTTCAATTCAAATGAAATTCGGACAGGAAAGAGGACAATATCCGTTGGTCTTTGCTGATGTCAGACTGCTATATTTTACAAGTGCATATCTTTTTGCATGCATAGTCTGTTTTTCTGGATTTACATACAGTGTGTTTTAACATTAATGTAATTTGGTAATGCAGGGATGTGGGTAGAGACTGCCTATGTCTTCTACACTGTCTCTGTATTTCCAACCTGTAGACCTTTGATGGATGGATATTGTTGATTATGTTAGCTGAGGTACTAATTTTCTCAAGTCTTGACTTCTTTACCCTTCTACTTCCGAACTTGAGATTTACAAGTGTGCTTATGAGACCATTCATTCAATAAAAATTAATAATTGATACCTTTATGGAGATAACCGGTTTTCAGGACAGACTGTATACTTGTAAACACTCCCAGATATTTTCCATGCAGCCAGATTCTGCTAGTAAGTGTGGCAGCCTCAGGCAGGAGGGACTTTATTACCTCCCACTGAGTGCTAGGGGACTATTAGGTAAATGACTGGCTCTCTCACTAAATGGCTGTTTTGCAGCCTGATGAAGTGAGCATCTGGAGAGGGGTGTTAACTCCCAGCGCTCACCAACCATGGTTTGCTCTCGCCTGAGCAGGCTCTACTGACCATCACATGCGATGGCTATTGCTGTCCAAAGGATTTTAAGGTTGCTGTGGAGAATAACAACAAAACCCCCACAGGTCCCGTGGCAAGATTCCAGGCCTTTGAAGGTCCTCAGCTCTCTGACCAGTGGACTTGTGGTAATATTTGTTGCTGTTGGCCTTGAAACCAATCTGTCCCACACCCAAATTGAGCATCTGGAGAAAGTACGATTTCCAAGAACTGTTCCCAGAGGCCATATCTATCTCTCCATTACCAGAATAAAAATATCCCCAGCTACTCCGACGTACCTAACTAATAAAGAGCTGTCTTATTTAGCCCAGCTGGCTGATTCCAATGATCTATTGGTCAACTTTCCCTTGCCTTCTTACATCTCCCATCAAATCAAGGGCATAGAGGATTTAAACATATTTGAAAAAGTTTTTCCTTGTTGTCATTCATAGGGATTCACAAATCATTTTTTCTCTTGTAAATCTATAAGGCATTAATGCATGAGGCCCAGGGGAGAGTAACAAAGACAGACATGGAGAAAATCTTCCTTTATCTGTGCCAGAGTCACCAACCTCGTAAGGTCTTAGTTTCCTAATCTGTATAATGAGGGTTTGAATTAGGTGAAAACTCAGATGTTTCAAGCAGACTCTTTTGCTTTAGAGACACACAGATAGAACATTCAAGAAAAAAGTGGAAAACTATATAAACTACGGAATACCCTGTCTAGAAAGCAACTTTGAAGCCCATAGATTCTCCAGCAGCTGATGATATTAAACCTATACTATCTAGTGAGGTAGTCCATCTTTTTTTTTTTTTTTCACTATCAGAAACACAAGATATGTTTGCTGCAGGATGTGTAAACTCACTAGAAAGACAGCAAGATAGAGAAAGAAAGTGAGAAATCACCATCACCACCTCCCCAAGGGGGATGGCTATGTTGTAATCCCTTCTCCTCCATTTTCCTCTTGGGATCTTAGGAACATGCACCTGGTGTGAGTTTTAAGTTGTCAGGTCTGGGACTCGAACTGTAGTCTACTATGTGGGAATCCAGCAACATAACCATTATACCATCTGCTGATCCCACAGTATTTATTAATTGCTGAGGGCATGCACACTCATCAGAGAAAGCAGACAAGTAAGGAGAGAAAGAAAGCACATACCCCAGAGTGACATAGTTATGCAGCAATCCTTTCTCCATTTCTCCATCCCATTGGGTTTCTGGGTCTGCATGCATGTGTGCCTGGAATGTTTTTCAAGTCACTATCAGAAACACATTGAAAGGCACTCAGACCTTAAACAGGCCCTCTCACACCAAATTTTCCCAAACTGTCCAAGTTAAATGTTTAGTTCATCAATTTAAAATCACCATGGGACAGTTCATTTCTATTACCCTGCCACAGGCCATCCCTTCTCTATAAGTGTTTAATATTGTAATTCATAAATATATAAACATGCCAAAATTCTAGTTGAGTCTTCTGTTTGGAAGAACTCAATCTGAAACTTTGTATTTGAACACTGAAACATGGCCATGTTTTGTTTTATATCTTAAGAAATGAACTCCAAGAGGAAATCCCTTTCCCCAGGCTATCGTTGAGTTATTTGGTATATACTGTAATGGGGAGGAGGAAAATATGTTTTTCTTCTTTAAACTTCCTCCATGAGGTGGATTCTTGACGTACAGGCTCTTTTGTCTTGCTGAGAGCCTTTATGATGGAAGAGGAAGCTGTAAGAGAAGTAAGAATGTCAAGTTTTCAGGGCCATCTTGAGCATCAATGGGAAAAGAGAAATGAGAGGAAAAAAGAAAAATGGTTGGATAGAACAGGCTGGAATACTGCGTATGGTGAAGGAGCTAGGAAAACGTCCCCAGTGTTGTGTGCTGAGACGTTTATGGACAGGGACTTCTCCCATTTGGGATTTGTGTAGCTATCATATAAACATTCTTCTCTCTTCTGCAAGCCATATCCCAGTTGGAAAGAGGCTTCTGTGCACACAGATATTTTGGGATGAAAATGGTGGAGCTGGAGGAAGTACCTGAGTTTCTCGTTTGGGTCCTCTTAGAAATAGCTGGTACAGAATGGGAAGATAACCCAGAAACTGAACTGATTCAGAAAAAGTAGGACCTTTGATCCAGAGGTAACCATGAGAATTTAAACTCTGAGGATTTTCAGGAATCTTAGGGACTTTTCCAGACCACCACAAAGTATGGAACGTAAAGTCTGAGACAATCTTATCTAGATTATAGAGGCCAGGAGGTCTCAGCTGACATATGGGTCCTATTATGGGGGAGGACATTTGTTCCAATGGCACTGGGAATTAAGCTAATCTCCTTTTATCAGACTTTATCTGTTTGTAGTAATATTTTATAGAATAAGATAAGCCTAGGAATACATTCAAATGTGGGTGATAAGTGATTTCATAATGCATTTTTGCTCAATATATTCTAACCTCTCCAAGTTTTGACTTTCAATGCAAATCTCCCTCCTCTCTTGCCATTCCCTTCCAAATACACACTTCAATCCTTCATCACCACTTTCACTCCCAACTCTACATTCAGGTGAAACAGTGAACTAACGCCTATGTGAATTGAAGTGTGACTTTCCTCCTCTGTGTGGCTTCCCATCTGCATCATTTTCCACATCCCAGTTTCACAGCAGCAGGTTCTGTTTGCCTCTAGCCCTTGGCCTTCCTCTTGGACAGCCCCTCCTCTCCAAAGAGGCGGCTTCACCTTCTCTTACATCTTCAGTGAACCACAGTGACCTCAGAGGCTGATGCAGGTGCTTCGGGAGACCAGTTCATCAAGTGCTACAGACAGCAAGGGCCGGGGTGAGCCATCAGCCCCTCAAAACTATGGTCTAGAGCTGCCCTGGACCAGATTAGTAATGGTGACCTGGAGGTGAAAGGCTCTGTATTCCATTACCAGTCTCCTGAGTAATCTACCTAATTCAGTATCCTTTCATTTAATTGAAACATTATTTTCTCTCTGTTAGCCAGGGCACTCAAGCTGGTGTAGCAATGTTAATCTTTCAGCTGATTTCCATCTTTACAGAATTACCTTTCTAGCAATTAGACCCACTGGTATAAATTTGCTTTGCTCCTTCCTGGGGTTCAACATTAAAATGGAAATCTCCAGGCTCCACGCGTTTTCCTCCAGGCTGACCCGGGGCAGGTATTAATTAACTGGGGTGTCGTGAAAAGGTTGAGCTGGAAACGCCAAGTAGGAGAATACTTCTCTTGGGATGTCTTTGCAGCCAGCCGATGGACTAAAGGGGGTGAGACCTGGATGGAGGATAATCACATTTAAGTCAAGTAGGATGGCTGTATTATTAGTGAATTGGGGAGCAAAATAATGGTTATTCTAGAAGTACATTAGTGCTTTCAGGTAACAAAATCTGCATCTTTTGTTGAAATCTGGATATGGCTCATTGTGAACATTCTCTAAGGCATTCACGGTTACATGGGTTAGCCGTCTCAGTCTGCCTACCATGTTAAATTGCCTGAGATTGAGAAGTTCTTGGTAAAACCAAAAAGATTCTGGGTAAACTGAGCTGTGTCGGTCACTCCATTAGGAAAAATTTCTTTTTTTTCTTTTTTTTTTTTGCTATGGGGCACGTGTGCTCACCAGAAAGATAGAGAGAGTTAGAGAGACAGAAAGCAAGAAATCACCCCCCCTCCCCAGGGGGATGGCCACACCACAATCCCTTCTCCATTCTCCTCTCAGGATCTTGGACATGCATGCACATGCGCCCAGTGTGAGTTTAAGCCGCCAGGTCCGGGACTTGAATCGCGGTCGACTACGTGGGAGTCCAGTGACATAGC